CAACATTTATTGAATTCCTTTACCCATGCTGCATCCCTTTTTGGCCTTTTCATTAACGTAAGGAAAACTGAAGTCTATACCAACAACCTCCTGGCAGAAACCTATCACCTAAACAATTTCAAGTTGTTTTGCTACCTAGGTAGCATAGTTATCGGTGACACTAGTATTGACAAAGAACTCTCACTGTGCTTAAAATCAGCTGCCTCAGCTTTCAGTCACCTATGAAAAAGACTATGGAGAAGACAGGGCAGGCAGGGAGGTCAAAGTGTCTACAAAATGCTAAGTTTACAGAGCAGTTGTGCTCCTTTGTCCCTCATGGGCGACCAGTGCCTCCCAAGTCTGGGGGGGCACCAGATCACCGATAGGGGGGGTCCTCCAGCAGCCAATCGTCAACCAGGGAGGTGGGGGGGGCGCGAGGGGAGGAGTCCCCCAGCAGCTGATCGCCGAACCTGAAATCACCAGCAGTGAAACCGGATGTGCACTTCCACTAGCACTTCCGGTTTCATGGCTGGCACTTCCAGGGGGTGCACGGCCAATCTAATGTTGTCTCCAATAGTCATTAGCGACCTGCCCCCTTTATTGTTGCCATATCAACTTAATTGCCTGCAACAACATCACCTATGCAGCATAATGGGAATGAAATGGTCTGACAAACTCACCAACAAGTACTACAACTGGCAGCCATGCCAAACATGGAAGCCATGCTCACACAGAGGCAAATGACCTGGGTCAGCCACACCATACATATGGACAACAATCAACTGCCAAAGAGAGCTCTGTACAGTGAATTTGAAAAAGCAGTAGAAAGATTGGCTACCCCAAACTCTGCTACAAGGACTGCATTAAGTGGCATATACAGGCTGGAACTCATGTCCTGGGAGGATACGGCCTACGACAGGCAAGCTTGGTATGCTACTATGAAGAAAGCAGAATGAGCAACAGAATATCATTGTGCCACCTGGGCCAACAGGAGGAGGGAATATAGATACCAACTTGCTCTGGCACGTTTCCTGAACCCTACATGTGGAAACTGATTTCCAGGATCAGTAGTAGTCATTCTTGAATATCCATGACAGTCATTATGAATTTATGAATACAAGTACCCAAAGACATCCATGGTGTGTGCATGCAATCTATATTCCTGGTGTGAACTAAGCAACAAAAGGAAACTGCCTTACTATTAATGGGTTTGATGAGCTATATATCTTAATTTTTCTTTACATGTACAGTAGAGATACAGGCTCAGTGTAGCGCTTAATCACATTTTTCCCCAACTTGGAATTCCTTCCAGTCATTCTACCTGATGAGTGGGGTTTTGTGGAAAAAAATAATATAGATGCAAGCAAACATCTAACTTTCTGATTTCAGCTGGATCTGGGTCAGACCATGAGATGGGCAGACTTTTATGCATTGTAATGCATCCCATGCACTTACCAATAGAAACTGCAGGAACAATTAAAAAAAAATGACTGGTTTGGCCCATGTCTTAGAATCATAGAATAGTAGGATCAGAAGGGACCTATAAGATCAAATCTGGTCCAGCTCAGTCAAAGTTCATAAAAGGCAGCACTTGTGTGAGGTGCTGACATATATTTTAACTTTTACAGTTAAAATATCTATGCTGTCTTACAATAAGTTTCATAGTTTCATAGTTTCTAGGGTCGGAAGGGACCTGAGCAGATCATCTAGTCCGACCCCCTGCCATGGCAGGAAGAGCACTGGGGTCAAATGACCCCAGTAAGGTGGTCATCCAACCTCCTCTTAAAAACCCCCAGGGTGGGAGCCTGCACCACCTCACTTGGAA